TTGAACTTATGTCATTCACTTGACAGATCGGTTAGGTTATGCACATGTTGAGCTGTAGGTTACATTCTTCGCTACAGCTGTTGATCGTAACTGTGTCATATACATGTTCTGATCGCCTTGACTCGCATCACTTTTTTGTGTATGTATCACGTATCATCTGTAGAACAGATGTACTTGTTCTCGGAACGGTCGATTGGAGAAGGCCCTGTACTGGCGCCGCTATGAACCGAATTCATCCGTTACAAATTGACCATGACAGACTGCGACAGTGAAGTCTTCGTGGAAGACGATTGACTGTACACTGTACTGAAAACTTGTGTAGTGAACCAGTAATCATATACAGTTACGACCTCCATGAACTGTTGCTATTTTTCAGCAAGTTAACGAACTTAATGGATTACGTAACAGGCACAGGATTCAATAGGGTTCAATAGCCAGCTTCTAGGATTTAATGGAGGACATGGTCCACTTTCGTGTTAATTCAATCCTTTTGTCGATCGAGAAATACTCTGTTCTTCGTGCTGACTCAGTATACCAAATTCAGTAGGCAAAGCGATGTTGCCAGTCTTTGATCCAGTTCTTATCTCCTCCTGATACGTCCTGCAGTTTGGATGCGTTAGGTTCCTCTTGACAGTTAAGAGTTGAAGCACATCATCTATACAGAGCTTTGAACTGAGTTGGCAGAACTAAGCATATTCACGTTAAACTTCAACGGCGGAACCATCTAAATGCTTAGATCAGTTCGGCACCATCAGTGACTGGCGCTGCCCTATGTTTACTTAAGAAATATTAACCAAGTAGATTGAATAAGGTGGCAGTGCAATACATGCAATGAGGTGGCATGCTGGCTTCTTGCCAATGTTTAAGGAGCACTCTCCTGGCATGACGTAAGTTCTTAGGAAATGCATATACGAACAAATATAGTCGTTTAATATGGAATCCTGAAACGAGCAGCCGGTTAAGCGGCTACTCATCCACTGCTGAACGGTACAGGGTAACTGCTAATTTGTACGTTTCTTTTACAGCTGCAAACTGACTCTGATGCCAGATCGAATTTGAATCTGCAAATAACCGACAAAATGGGATAACAATCAAATATCTTCGTTTCTTAATATATGGTTCAAAGTGGCAGTTGACAAGGACGATGTAAAAACCGAGCATTGGTACTATTGGTTTGAACTGCGATTTGGCAAGCGAAGAGCGTTAATTGCCATTCGTGCAGTAAACGGATCAATATTTTTCTTCTTACGTAATTAAAGTCTGGTAATCATTTCAATGGTATTTTTTTATTCCAAAGTCTGTATAAACTGAATTGTGCCAAGGTTTGAGTGAAAGGTAAAGCTTTGCTCTTGTATCTCATCAGTATCTAATTTTCTGTGGAACTGGTTTGCTATGGCGTCAGAAGCAAGGCAAAATCTCAAAGAAATAAAGCTTAAACTATCCGTTGAATTCCCATCGCTCAGAAATACTTAAAATGGTAAATACCCTGAGGTTCGCTTTCATTTATGTTGTCATTATCTTGTAATTCAAGAAAAATCATACCAGATATTTAGATGACAATGGCCAAGCAATTACTCCAGTGCCTGATATAAAGAAGGAACGAGGTAATGTTTGGTCACTAAATGGCCACCATGCTTGTAACTTTTAATAAACGTTTAGGAAACAAACAGCCCCAAAAAAGCGGTGGCGGCGGTGGTGGTGGCGGTGGCCGTGGCGGTGGCGGTGGCCATAACGTACATATAACTACCACTGTCCGTAAGTAGATGTTTGCTATAATTAGCATTTTCTAAGAATCTGAACATGCATGAAATGAAACACCGGTTATTATTTCTTAAATTTCTCACATATATGAACCTAACTAAAAGCAAACCCTGAATCTCATTCATCTCGTACAAATCTCTTATTTAATGACATCGTCTAACAAGTTCATCAGGTTCAAAATTTTGGATCATAGTCGATTATTCTTCAGGGACTGAAATTAGAATAAACAGTAATATTGCTGTACGGCAGCATCATCTTTTTCTCTTTCATGTCACTTCCTAAAAGCCGATTCGGTGTGATCCGACGTGCATTGGATCAGTCCGAAAAAAATTTATGCAATTTTCGATGAATTTCATATATGAATTTGTTGACGTTTTCTTTAATAAAGGCCAGTTTTTGACGTGCCATTATGTTAGAAGTTATTATCGACATCTCTCTGCAATGGTGGACATGATTTAGCACTGCGTTCAGGTCACGTTCCATCTACCGAAAGTGTCATCGCTTCTAGAACTCAGTATCTTTAGATAGAGTTTGTCACATCTTGCATCCTTGTCGCATAACGGTATTCGTGCAGCGATTTTGGAATAACCGAACCTGATCAGGATTGGATCAAACGACCTAACAACTCCTAGCAGTTGCTAGTTTAGCGTCGAATAAAATGAATCACTGTTTAAAATTAAATAGCAAATAAATAATTTGCCACGATGATATCAATAAACTTGTATTTTGTAACGTGTATTTTGTCTAACTTATATTTTTAGACTTCGACAGAAGAGGGAAACAGAAGTCGTAATACTTTCTCTGAAAGACGCCAAATATTACACTATGGCATGCTTTGCATTACTGAACTGTCTTCATTTCATTGATGCTGATTTGATTGAATCATTAAATGGGTGAATATGAAAAATGTCTTTCTACTGTAACTTAAGCCGCGAGAATGACCGTTCGTTCATGAATGGTCGAAACACTCTCCTGTACTCAACACATCGCCAATCAGTAGAGTACGTAACAGCAACAAAGTCCCAAATGACTTCCGCAAAATGCCTGTTAAACAACAGCAATGTTCTTATTACTCGTTCAGTTGTGACTCTTGTAGATTTGCTTCCCTTGTTTATCATCTTCTTCAATCGCCGCTTCTTTCGGATCGATCTGGCAGACGCGCCAGACAGAGCTTCCAACGTTCCCGATCCTCTGCCAGAATTCGAGCTTGGGCAAAAGACAACTGGAGTCACGAACAGACTTTTTCCATATATTTCCACCAGGTTAGTCTTGGAGGTCCCATGTGCCTTCTCCCCGTCGGTTTGGCAAGAAACAGTTGCCTAGCCTTCCTTTCTGTAGGCATTCATAATACATGCCTCAACCATCGCAGCTGTGACTTCGCAATCTGAAGAAACAGAGACTGTACACCAAGGCTCTCCCGGATGTCAGTATTCCGTGCCATGTCAAGACGCGTAAGGTCAGCGACTCGTCTATGAAAGCGCAGTTCAGCAGCTTGTATCCGGGTTCGAAGCTTTTCAGTCATGTCCCACGACTCATGACAGTAAGTAAACATGGAGATAAAAATCGACTTGAACACCGAGAGCTTAGTTTTTATAGTGAGCTCTTCTTTAGTCACAGTGGATCGGGCTAGTTCACGCAGAATGCCATTGTCCACTCCAATTCGCCGGTTGATCTCTTCCTCGAATTTTCCATCTCTAGCAAATACGATTCCGAGGTAATCGAACTTCTCCACCTGCTCCACTGCCTCTCCGTTAATTTGAAGAGAGCAGTGGGAACGAGAAAGCACTAGGCTTTTCGTTTTAGACGTGTTCAAACGCAAGCGGTCCAGGTCGCGCTCGGCTGCGAACCTTTCTAAGAAGCACTGAAGATCAGTTTCAGAAGATGCTAATAAACCAAGGTCGTCTGCAAACAGCAACCTTCTCGATTTCACAACTTCTACACCGATACCCTCACCTCCTAAGTAGCTCCTGACTCTTCTATCCATATACAACAGAAACAGGACGCAGCCTTGGCGGAGACCAGTGCGAACGTTGAATGGCTTCCACTTAACGTCTTTAACTCTGACGCAGCGCCTGCTATAAGAATACAGCACCCTTAGCAGCTGGCCATCAATCCCATATACACGAAGGCGTGTCCACAGACTGTTGCGTGGAACCCGGTCATAACTTTTTGTAGGTCAACAAAACCCATGTACACTGGTGTGCGTACTCCAACGATTTCTCAACAATCTGGC